ATACCTCCGCTACTTTATTTTTTTAAATTAGCAATAGATTACTATATTATTTTCCTGTATCTTTGCTTTTTTCTTTTCTTCTTCTTCTTGTTATTTTTCTATTAAATAGAGACAGGGTTTTATTATGTTGCCCAGGCTGGTCTTGAACTCCTAAGGTCAAGTGATCCTCTGGCCTTAGCCTCCCAAAGTGCTAGGATTACTGGCGTGAACAACCATGCTTGGCCTTTTGTTCCTAATATATGAAAAAGATGGCTGGGCACAGTGGCTCACACCTGTAATCCCAGCACTTTGGGAGGCCGAGGTGGGCAGATCACCTGAGATCAGGAGTTCAAGACCAGCCTGCCCAACATGGTAAAACCCCATCTCCACTAAAAATATAAAAATTAGCCGGGCATGGTAGTGTGCGCCTGTAGTCCCAGCTACTCAGGAGGCTGAGAATCACTTGAACTCAGGAGGTGGAGTTTGCAGTGAGCCGAGATCATGCCACTGCACTCCATCCTGGGCGACAGAGTAAGACTTTGTCTCAAAAAAAGAAAAATAAAGTAAAATAGAAAAATATAAAATCAATTATTATAGATTTATCTTATTTATTTTCAGCTGCAAAATATTCTGTTTATGTCTTTTCCTTACCTTTAAAAATTATATTGTGTACTTTGTTTTTTTGTTTTTTTGAGTTGGAGTCTCACTCTTCACCCTGGCTGGAGTGCAGCTGGAGTGGAGTGTACGACCATGCCTAATTTTTGTATTTTTAGTAGAGACGGGTTTTCACCATGTTGGCCAGGCTGATCTTGAGCTCCTGACCTCAGGTGATTCCCCCATCTCAGCCTTCTAAAGTGCTGGGATTACAGGCGTGAGCCACCACACCCAGCCAGTATTTTGTACTTTGAATGATAGAAAGGAAGAAAACAAAATTGTATTTTTTTCTTGTTGAAATATGAGTTGTTTGTACAGCAAAGAAATAAGCACTACATCTGTAGTTGTTGGAAATATTTCCACCAGTTTATAGATTTTAACATTCTGCTATTACTATTTTTTATTATTGACAATTTTTTTTCATTTATTAACTTTATCCATGTCTTATATGTACATCTTTGTGAATTCTGGATTCTGGACTTATGTATAGCATAGAAAGGCTTTCTTCTTGAGATTATTTTAAAAATCCTTCTTTTTTTTCCCTAGTATTTTTATGAGTTTGATTTTTTTTTTTTTGAGACAGAGTCTTGCTCTGTCAAACAGGATGGAGTGCAGTGGTGCAATCTCAGCTTACTGCAACCTCCGCCTCCCAGGTTCAAGCAATTCTCTTGCCTCCGTCTCCTGAGTAGCTGGGAGTACAGGCACTGGGACTACATGCCCAGCTAATTTTTTGGGTATATTTTAGTAGAGACGGCCTTCCACCATGTTGGCCAGGCTGGTTTCGAACTCCTGAACTCAGGTGATCCACCTGCCTTGGCCTCCCAAAGTGCTAGATTACAGATGTGAGCCACTGTGCCAGCCCATGAGTTTGATTTTTTTTCTCTAATTCTTTCTGTTGCATATTCTTGTAATGCTTGAGTTTGATTTTTATTCATAAGAAGTTCCCTACCTGAATTTCTTACACCAAATTAAATTCCAAATGGTCCAAGTATTTATGAATAAAATTCATAAATGCAAAAGTCTTGGTTCTCTACCTGAATTTATCTACACCAAATTAAATTCCAAATGGTTATTCATAAATCTTTGAACGACTGGATTTTGTTTGTTTTTGTTTTGTTTTGTTTTGTTTTGTTTTGAGATGGAGTTTCACTCTATCTCCCAGGCTTGAGTGCATGGCACAATATTGGCTCACTGCAACCTCTGTCTCCTAGGTTCAAGCGATTCTCCTGCCTTGGCCTCCGAAGTAACTGGGATTACAGGTGTGTGCCACCACACCCAGCTAATTTTTGTATTTTTAGTAGATATGGGTTTTTGCTGTGTTGGCCAGGCTGATCTTGAACTCCTGACCCCAGGTGATCTGGCTGGCTCAGTCTCCCAAAGTACTAGGATTACAGGTGTGAGCCCCCATACTCAGACTTTGAATCATTTGGATTTTAATTTAGCATAAGAAATTCAGGTAGGAAACCAAGACTTTTCAGATAGCTATCCAGTGTTCCAGCATCATTTACTGAATAATCTATTATTCTTGCATTTAAAAAAAAATATTTTACATTTTTATTTATAAAGATCGGGTCTTGATATCTTGCCCAGGCTGGTTTTGAACTCCTGGTCTCAAGTGATTCTCCTGCTTTGGCCTCCCAAAATGCTGGGATTATAGGCCTGAGCCAGTGTGCCCAGCTGGATGGTTTCATCCTACAGGAATTAGATAGAACTGGGTTCAAATTCTAGATTCACTACTTACTACTTGTCTTGGGCAAGATATGATTTAATTTCCTCATCTGTAGAATTAGGCCAATAACATCTGCCTCATAGCATTGTGGTGAGAAATGAATGATTACAGTCTTGAAAGAAAACTGGCAGAAAATTACATACAGAACAGAATATAAATATTGGTTCCCTTCATTTCCTGAAGATTCTGTGGTCTCTTTCAGGCATTGGCTTAGATGCTCATATGCATCCATGATTATGTAAGCTCTTTATTAGCCCTGGCAGAAAAGGCAGCCAAGGTTGGCCCTAGTGTATCCCAGGGAACAAAGTGCTGCTTTCAGTCCTATCCAGAGTAACCACATGGGTCTCCTGGGAGGAACTGGCCTTTTGAGCCCTGTTGTGTGGCCTGGTAGGTGTTGTTGATGATCCGGAGATGATTTATGGAAATTACTAGCATGATGGTCCTGTGACAGTGACTCTGATAGATGATGAAAGTCCCTGGAGGTTGCCAGAAGGAGGAACAACACAGGGGAGAAGTGTGAGGATTTGTTTATAGAAATGGCATTGTGGGTCCATCTTGATTTCTTTATACGTACAACACCTCCTCCAATTTTAGATGCGTCATTTGGCCACATAGCCATTGAGTTTACAGCTAAAGGCTCTACTTTAATTATTCATAGTACTTCCTACAAGACTGAATTTGTGATTCTGTGTTCTCAACTAAGGCACAGTTCAAATGAGCATTGGAACTACTGTCTGCTTAGTAATCAGAGAGCTTTTGTCTTTATACTGTGATTCCAGAATTTCTCCCCTACTTGATTCCTGATACCTTGACTTTTAAAAAATACTCCTTAATAAGGCTTGAGATTTTCATGTCGTAATTAGATAATTAAAATGCAACTACAACTAGGGAGTTCATACACTGACATATTTGGAATATCTCTTCCCCACTAGAATGTAAACTTCTTGGGGGCAGGAACTTTATTTTGTACCCTACTATGTCCTCAGTGTATACATACCCAAATGGCATATAGTTAGTGCTTAATAAATATTTCTTGAATTAATGAGCAAATGAGAGTCCATATTAATGTGTCAATTATTATAGCAGTCAGCATTTCCTTTGTCTATACTTTTTTTTATGACTTTACACATTTTAGGCTTTATATATGTGGCATTCTCTTTCTGCAATGCCGTTTCTCTGCTTTTTACTCCTCCATCACCTCTTCTATATCTAGAGAAGGTATAGCAATCCTTTAAAACTCCCTTTGTTTGGTAAAATGCTTCTTGACCCTTATTTTCCTCCTCAAATCAGTTCTTTTTAAAAAATCCAGCTGGGCTCCTATAGCCTTTTTTTTTTTTTGAGATGGAGTTTTGCTCTTGTTGCCAAGGCTGGAATGAAATGGTACACTCTTGGCTTACTGTAACCTCCTCCTCCCTCGTTCAAGTGATTCTAGTGCCTCAGCCTCCCAAGTAGCTGTGATCACAGGCTTCTGCTACCATACTGGGCTAACTTTTGTGTATTTAGTAGAAACAGGGTTTCACCATGTTGGCCAGGCTGGTCTTGAACTCCTGACCTCAGGTAGTCCACCCACCTTGGCCTCCCAAAGTGCTGGAATTACAGGCATGAGCCACTTTGCCTGGCCTCCTGTAGCCCTTTGCTTATAATCCTGTTATAAGAGAAATCATTTTGTGCTGTAATGATTTGTTTGCATGTTAGTCTCTGCCATTAGAAATGAGTTCTTTGAGATTGCGATATTGTGTATTTCTTTTGAACTCTCATTCTTAGTGAGGTAACTGGTTTATGGCATTAATGAATTACACTGACAACTGACTGAATCTTGCAAGTGGTCCTTCACCCTGCAGGGTTCCAGAAAGGTCTCAGACAAATCCCTGTTAAGGAGTGCATTACAAGATCACTTCCTTTAAAAGTACTATTTTGCGTAGGAAATCTTCCTGCCTACTAAGGTTTTCTTTTGCTAAATCTCTTTATTTTGTATTCAAATGGAATGCTTAGTGTGGAAACGCAGAGTACAGCCCATAAATAAGGAATTTAGAAATACTTGGTCAAATTTCAAGGTGGGATTGATTACCTTGGTTTTCTACTCTGAATGCTTTCTGGTTGCTTTGATGCCATAGAAACCTCAAAAATAGTGACATTTAGGGAGAACTGGAATATTTATCCTGAGGAAAAACAAATGGTTTGACTATTGGGAACCAAACTCCTGATGGTGTAGGACAGGGGAATTATGTTGTATAACACTGTATCTCATGTCTCCAGCTGTAAGAGGATTGTGGCCCGCTCAGGTTGCTATGGTTGTGACTATGACAACTCTGGAAAACATGAGAGAGATGCCAAGAAGAGGGCGTGGTAATGGCCATGGGCACAAGATCACAAATATCCAAGAGTAGGGACTGCATAGGGTCCTTGCATTCCAGTGGCAGGGATTCAAAACCCTATTTGAAGATCTGATTCCCACATTCTGTTATTCACATAGAAGCAAACCCTGAACTGCTAATAATTGATTCCTTTTCATTCATTCATTCTGCTTTTTGTTATTCTGAGGAAGGAAATGAAGTAGACGGAAGCAGCATAAGTATCTAGGGTACTACCCAAAGGGCTGCAGCTCTTGAGAACAGCCTCTATTTAATTAAGCCAACTGTGAATTTGTGTAGGTGAAAGTAACAGCTGCTGATACTTAGGATATTTTTAAGTTGCACCCAGTTGGGTACTCTCTATGTCTATATATGGTCCTTCATACTAAAGGACCTCGTGGAGATGGGTGGGCTAAAAACACGAACTCCTTGAAACTGCATCATCATCTTTTCATCTCTGTCAGCACAGCAGCAGCGTGCTCTCTGGGAAACTTTAGCAAGGTTAAATGTTAAACCATTCATCTGACCTACTCAGCAGTAACTCCTCCATCCCCCTACGTTGTTGCTGGGCTTTTCTGAGATTCAAAGAAATACTTATTTGTTTATTTCCAATATATTTTCAAGCTGCCTAGTTACCATGTCTTGTGCACAATGTGCATTCCAGGCAAACAAACTTTTTCAGAGCACAGCAGATTGAAGCAACAAACAAACCTAGCAAATTGAGCCCCCTGAGCCCATGTGCTATCTGAAGCAAACCAAAACACAGCTGGCAGAGTTAATTTTAGACTTTCCAACCTTGGTCATGTCCTATCAATTTGGGAAAAGCTGTTTTGAATAGACTTGAAAAGGGCCTTCCTCCTTCTCCCCACGGCAGTTACTGCTATGTGGTTTGAGTTTAGTGGGAAAAACAATTAATTGTGGGCAATGGTAAACTTGATGAACCAAGAAATTCAATTCAACATTTATTGAGCAAGTCTAAGGCCCTTGCAAGAAACTTTTTATTTTATTTTACTTTATTTTGAGACAGGGTCTTGCCCTGTTACCAGGCTGGAGTGCAGTGACTGGATCATGGCTCACTGCAGCCTGGAACTCTTGAACTCAGGTGCTCCTTCTGCCTTGGCTTCTCAAGTAGTTGGGGCTACAGGTGCGTACCCAGCAATTTTTCTTTTCTTATGGAGATAGGGTTGCCGTATGTTGCCCAGGGTGTTCATGGGATCCTCCTGCCTTGGCCTCCCAAAATGCTGAGACGCGTGAGCACCTGGCCAATAAATCTCTCATAATTTTTGTCCTACGGACTAAGATCCTCAAAATTATACAGAAAGTACTGCTTTCTAAAAAGTTCTGAAAGACGGACTTTTTGAAAACAAAAATCAATTTTTATGTTGTGGTGCTTCAAAACACCTCAAACGAGTTGGCATGATGATTAGGGAAGTTGTTTTATTAAATTATGCTGTTTATGAGTGTAACCAGAATTTAAATATAATACAAGGAGTATATATATGCTATTCAATTCTGAATACACAAGATCCAACTGTCTGACCACCAAAATAGGTAAGGTCCCTTTAATATACACCCATATACAGGCCAGGCGCAGTGGCCCATGCCTGTAATCCCAGCACTTTGGGAGGCTGAGGCGGGCAGATCACTTGAGGTCAGGAGTTCAAGACTAGCCTGGCCAACATGGTGAAACCCCGTCTCTATTAAAAAATATAAAAATTAATCAGGCATGGTGATGCGTACCTGTAATTCCAGCTACTTGGGAGGCTGAGGCAGGAGAATCGCTTGAACCCAGAGGTGGAGGTTGCAGTGAGCCAAGATCGTGCCTGAGTGACATAATGAGAATCTGAAAAAAAAAAAAAAGACTTCATATACTACATGACACTTAATACAGTTTTAAATTTTGCTTTTATTTGATTCCTTGTATTTCCCAATGACCTATAGGATTCAGATGGCAAGGACTATGTGATTTTTTTTTTAACTCTCAGAGGCCCATAGTAGACACTCAATGAATTCTTGTTGAGTAGATAAATGATCATCACCTAAAATCTAGCCGTCCTATTGCGTAGACCTTATATTCAATCAAAAAGTTAATAATCTTAAAGGGAAGGATACTGGACTAGGTTTGTATCAATAGAAGATTCCTTCTTCCATTTTAAACGTTAAATAATAAGCTCTGTGTTTTGATGCTTTGTGGGTTTTAGCAATAGAATGCACTGAAAGACACACCAAGCTTCACCAATCTTTCATGCCTCCATTCCTTTCTTTCATGCCTCCATTCCTTCCTTTTTCTTTTTTTTGAGATGGAGTCTTCCTCTGTCACCCAGGCTGGAGTGCAATGGTGCAATCTTGGTTCACTGCATCCTCTGCCTCCTGGGTTCAAGCGATTCTCCTTACTCAGCCTCCTGAGTAGCTGGGATTACAGGTTCCCGCCACCATGCTTGGCTAATTTTTGTATTTTTAGTAGAGGCGGGGTTTCGCCATGTTGGCCAGGCTGGTCTCAAACTCCTGACCTCAAGTGATCTGCCTGCTTTGGTCTCCCAAAGTGCTGGGATTATAGGCATGAGCCACTGTGCCTGGCCCCTCCATTCTTTCTTTTTCTTTTCTTTTTGAGACAGATCTCACTCTGTCACCCAGGCTGGAGTGCAGTGGTGTGACCTTGGCTGACTGCAACCTCTGCCTCCTGGGTTCAAGTGATTCTCTTGCCTCAGCCTCCTGAATAGCTGGGATCACAGGGTGTGCCACCATGCCCAGCTATTTCTGTATTTTTAGTAGAGATGGGGTTTCACCATGCTGGCCAGGCTGGTCTCTAACTGCTGGCCTCAAGAGATCTGCCCGCCTCTGCCTCCCAAAATGCTGGGATTACAAGGGTGTGCCACCGCCATGTTTTTCTATTATGTCAAATTAATCTGTCCTTGAGAAGCACTTAAAATTGTACATTGATTAGTCTTTAATGAAGCAAGATATAGAATTAAAATCTAAGGAGCACTAATAAAGGGTCAGGTTGAATTGCTATGTTAAGTGAGATTGTGTAGGATACCAAAATACATTTAGAATATACTTATTCTTTTTTATAGAGATTGGGGAGCGGTCCCACTATGTTGACTAGGCTGATCTTGAACTCCTGGCCTCAAGTAATCCTCCCATCTCGGCCTCCCAAAGTGCTGGGATTACAGGTGTGAGCCATGGCATCTGGCCTCAAATGAATATATATATATATATATATATATTTTTTTTTTTTTTTGCAAGCCATTCAGGGAGCAATGTGGAAATGTGTGCCAGTCATTTTAAAGATGCCCCTGGCAGGACAGAGCTTTAGAACAGGAAGATATCTTAGAGATCATGTAATGATCCAATCATTTTAAAGGAGCTAAAACTGAGGCTATGACAGGTCAACTCACTCTTTTCAAAGATAATCTGTAACCTGGTAATGCAAGTCTGGCTTTCAGAAGACCCTTAAAATAATTATACAGGGCTGGGTGTGATGGCTCATTCCTGTAATCCCAGCACATTGGGAGGCCGAGGTGGGTGGAACACGAGGTCAGGAGTTCGAGACAATCCTGGCCAACATGGTGAAACCCTGTCTTTACTAAAATCACAAAAATTGGCCAGGTGTGGTGGTGCATGCCTGTAGTCCCAGCTACCCAGGAGGCTGAGGCAGGAGAATCGCTTGAACCTGGGAGGCAGAGGTTGGAGTAAGCCAAGATCGTGCCACAGCAAGAAACTCTGTCTCAAAAAAGAAAGAAAAAAAAAAAGAATTATACAGTAAATTAGTACCACATCAATATTTTATACAGTAACTTAGTACCATATCAATATTTGGAACAGGGTTTTTATACCATAAATCTATTATTTTCATTAGGATAAATCCTCCTCTTTCTTCTTTTCTGGGACTCTTTAAAACTTTTTAAAATTTAATTTAAAGTTCCAGGATACATGTGCAGGACGTGCAGGTTTGTTACATAGGTAAATGTGTGCCATGGTAGTTTGCTGCATCTATCAACCTATCACCTAGGTATTAAGGCCTGTATGCACTAGCTATTTATTCTGATCTGGTAATCTTTTGAAAGTCTTCCCATTCCAGTTCCTTCTGCTGTTCCTGAGATAGGGCAAGATTTCAGTGCTAGATTCCCTATTTTCTTCTATTAAAAAATATATTTTTTACCACATTAACAATGTGCCAAATAATAGTGCATAAATACAGAATAATAAATTTTATATCTGTACCTACTTCAAGTGTATTCTGCCCTTTGGAATAAGCCAAAGGTGAGCTAATATCTGCACATGATTTGTTTTGCTCAGGTTCTTTGATAACTTCCATGTAGATTTGATGGGTGTTGTGAGTAAATAACATGGACATCTCTTGGGTACCCATATTTCCCCCCTAAATTGGTAATGCTGTGGTGGCATATTCAAGGTATGTGAAGTATTCTTAAACAGAATATAAAGGCTTGCCCTGGGCCCCATAACCCTGTGAGAATGAAAGTCTCTCTGTAAGCGGGTCTGAATGGCTTCTAGCTTCTAGGATGCATCAGAGTGCTTACAAGCTTTGGCCCCCTAAGTGGTTACACCGATGACCAGCCTACCATACTGGGTTTCTTGGTGAACCGAGCTCTGCTCTCCTCCTTGGCTGGTTCCCTTTTCCCAGCTGCTGATGATAGCCTGGCTTGCTTGTTCAGGTAGTGATGGACTCTGATCTTTCCCTCTGACCTTTCCCAGCTGCTGATGACAGCCTGCCTTGCCTCTTCAGGTAGTGATGGACTCTGACCTTCCCTAGTTCAGGGTTTAAAAATATGATCATAAAATGACAGAGACCTTGAAAACCCATTTGGTCCTTTTCCTCCAAGTCGTTACAACCAGATGAAACTCCCTCCTGTTTTTAAGTGCTAACAGAGAAAGATGCCATCACCTTTCACCGCCCTTGGACGGGCACTCACTGGGCCTAACTGCGGAGGTAATTCCATCCCTCACTGCGGGACCCTGACATCTCGGGGCTGAAACCCCTTTTCGCCCTGACGTCTGGAGCCCAGGGGAGAGGCTCCGAGCACTCGGCCACGACCCCTAACCAGGTGGACAGGCGAGCCGGGTAGCGCCAGCCCACACGCTGGGCGTGGCCCCTGGCAGCAGAAGGGACCAAAAGGTGAGGGACCCCGGGCCGCAGCCAGAGGGGCGGGGTGGGCTTGCACCGCTATCGCGAGAGCTCGTGAGGTGGGGGCGGCCGGGAGCTGGGGAGGGCCGCGCTGGGAGCCTGTAGCCCTGCCCCGCCTCCCTTTCCTTCCCCTCCCTGGAGTGATTCAAGCCGAGCGCTCTCCACTTCCGCCCCCTCCGCCTGCCATTGGAACTGGCTGAGCCGAACTAGTTGCGGCCACCGAGCAGCCGGCGTTCAACACCTTCCTCTTCGTCGTCTCCTGTTCTATTAGCCTTTCCTCCTCTTTTCTGGCCGACGCCTCTTCGAGGCCTCGCGACCCCTGAGCCTGCAACCCGCGCCGCGGCCGACATGAGCTTCTTGTTGTGAGTAGCCAGGCCCCGCACGCGCCGGCTTTGTTCGGGTGGACCTGGGCCCCCGCCCGCCGCCCGCCCTCATCCCGACTCTCCTGGCCCCGCGCTGCCCGGGCCCGGCGTCACCACCAAGCTGGGCCCCGGGACTGCGCGGAGCGCTCGAACTGCCTAACTGCCGCCTCCCCAGCGGGCTTAGAGTACGCGTGGGCTCCTCCAGCCCTGAGGAGGCTCTTTCCCTCCGGCACACCCCGGGGCAAGAGTCTGGATTCCTCCATCACCCCCACCTCTGCCTTCGCTCGCATTCCCGGGCTTGCTTGCACGCTTCTCGTAGATGTCTTCCACTCTCCCGGTGAATGGCTCCAACCGGTTCCCGATCGAATGGCTGCGTCTCAGCTGCCCATTGCTCTTTTCTGGGCCCCAAGCACAGACGATAGACTGTCGTACTTTCTCCCGTCACCCCAGGACCCTTTAACTTCCCCTCCGGTCTTAGGGCTGGAAAGTTGGGATGACAAGTTCTGTACATGTAACACTGAAACAAGGCTGCTTGCGGGTCGGGATCCGCTGGCCACTGACTGGGGTCCTCAGGAAAGGGGTCTGGAGCCGCCCCCTTGCTTCCTCGAGGCGCCCTTCCTCCCTGAGTACTTCCCTGAAGAAGACGGGTTTTATCTTTTAGACCACCAGCAAATAGGTTTTGCATAGTGTGCAAAACCCCCGCCTAGTTGATGAGGTCCACTGGGGAGCTGTTTTGAAAATCATTTGTAAATGTCAACTTTGGCGTCATATTTAGTGCTGGTCATTATTTCACTTACTTATCGTTTGTTCCAGACGAGTGGGGGGAACGTGGAGAGGGAAGGGCAGAAGGATGGGATGGCCGGATGTGGATACGGAGGCAGTAGATAAGCCTTAGGTGCTCTGAAAACGGGTTACACCCTGAGGAGTAACTCTTTTGAAGGCTTCGTTGTTGTGATGCACCGATTCCTTGTTTAGTCCGTGTTTAGAAAACTAATTTAAAAACTCGGAGGTTGAAACTCACCCCATACACTCTTTTACTGTTGTGGAGAAATTAGCATTTAAAGATTATTTTGTTAAGATTTCTGTTCTTTCCCTGCCCAATAATTTTTAGTCGTTACATTGACGTCTGAATGCTGAGAATTTAAGTCACCCTTTTTGCATGGTCACATCTAGAATATTCTTTTTAGGGTGTTTAAGCAAAACTGAACAATCACAGAAGCCTCGGGGCAGACTTACTGTTTGCAATATGCATACGGACCTGGCTTGTATCAACTTGCCTAAAACGTTTAAACTGTGAAAGGGAATTTCTTAGGCTCATCCTAGAAGTTGATTCTGAGTTTGTCAGATTGGTATAGGGCTAGATGACAGGACTGGGTGACTATAAAAAGTCTTTGTTTCCTATTTTAGTTCTTTTTCTTCTTCTTCTTCTTTTTTTTTGAGATGGGGTCTCCGCTCTGTAACCCAGGTGTGCGGTGGCTCGATCTTGGGTCACTGCATCCCCTGCGTACCGGGTTCAAGCGATTCTCCTACCTCCTGAGTAGCTGGGACTACAGACCTGAGCCACCACGCCCGGCTAATTTTTGTATTTTTGGTAGAGATGGGGTTTCACCTTGTTGGCCAGACTGGTCTTGAACTCCTGACCTCAAGTGATCTGCCCATCTCAAGTGATCTGCCCACCTCGATCTCCCAAAGTGCTGGGATTACAGGTGTGAGCCACCATGCCTGGGCAGTTTCCTGTTTTAGTTCTAATCACCGTATTCAAGCTTCTCAGCTTGAATCTTTTCTCATCTTGAGCTTAATTTTACATTGCTAATGTTTGCTTTTTTCAAGAATTTAGAAGCTGTATTCAAAATAACACTGTAGATGATGTCCATGACTACTGCTGATGGGCTTGTGTCTAGTAAGCTAAATTGGTTAAAGCAAAGCTAGGTGCGGTGGCTCTTGCCTGTAATCCCAGCACTTTCCGAGGTGGATACTGGTGGAACACGAGGTCAGGCGTTGAAGACCAGCCTGACCAATATGGTGAAACCCCGTCTGTACTAAAAATACAAAAATTCACTGGTCGTGGTGGCACACGCCTGTAGTCCCAGCTACTGGGTGGGCTGAGACAGGAGAATCGCTTGAACCCAGGAGGTGGAGGTTACATTGAGCTGAGATCTGGCCACTGCACTCCAGCCTGGAGACAGCAAGACTCCAATATAAAAAATAAAAAAAAAAAAAAAAAAAAAGAGTTAAAGCAGGGAAGAGCCATATTTGGCTGAAACTAGGGGATAGAGAAGGTTCTGATGCTATTTTTTGAATACAAATACAATAGTGTCCTATTTTTACATGGCTCAGTATTTAATAGATTCAGAAGTGTGGTGGATTAGTTCATTCCTCCTGAAGGTTATTAGCTACAAAAGAAATCTTTCAGTGACTAATGTATATAGCACCTTAGAGCATTTGCACTGTTTGGGGCACAGTCAGAAAAGTTAATTCAACATTTTCAGTTGTAAAAAAAAAAAAAAAAAAACATTTTCAGTTTTGGTCTTTGTCCACCATCAGTTTAAAATCTAAAGTGAACATCACTTAGAAATGATTATTATTGGAAGTGAAAGAACGAGGCTTTGGTTATTTCATCTATTTGTTATTTGGTATAGCTGTCTGAATACTGTTTCTTTCTTTCTTTCTTTCTTTTTTATTTATGAGACAGGATCTCACTTTGTTGCCCAGGATGGAGTGCAGTGGCATGATTACAGCTAACTGCAGCCTTGACCTCCCAGGCTCAGGTGATCCTCCCACCTCAAACCCCCTCCCTACCTCGATTAGCTAGTGCTACAGGTATGCGCCACTGTGCCTGGCTAAATTTTTTTTTTTTTTTTTTTATAGAGTCAGGGTTTTGCCATGTTGTCCAGGCTGCTCTCCTGGGCTCAAACAGTCCACTCATCTTGGCCTTCTAGTGTACTGAGATTACAGGTGCGAGCCATTGCACCTGGCCATGTGAAAACTATTTCTGTACCAACAAATGAGTAGAGAAGGAAAGAGTTACAGCTTAGGAGTTAAATACAAATATTTTCCTCCAGTTCTTGGAAGTTTACTGGGAAGCCTACTGTCAGTGGATGGAGCAGAGGAAATAAAGGCAGTACAAGATAGGGTTATGAAGGTGGTGACTCATGACTCTTGAGGGCTCTAAGAGAGAAGGAAATAATTATTACTGATTTTTAAAAAATAAACTGTGGGCTGGGCGCAGTGGCTCCTACCTGTAATCCCAACAGTTTGGGAGGCTGAAGTGGGCGGATCACTTAAGCCCCGAGTTTGACACCAGCCTGGACAACATGGCAAAACTCTGTCTCTACTTCCAAAAATACAAAAATTGCACCTGTAGTGCCAACTACTCTGGGGACTTAGGTGGAAGGGTCATCTCAGCCTGAGGATATTGAAGAGGTTGAGGCTGTAGTGAGACATAATCATGCCACTGCACTACAGCCTGGCCAATAGAGAGTGAGAACCCTGTCTTAAATAAAAGGCCATTTGCAGGGTGTAGTGGCTCAGGCCTGTAATCCCAGCACTTTGGGGCCAGAGGCAGGCAGATCACTTGAGATCAGGAGTTTGAGACCAGCCTGGCCCAACATGATGAAACCCCATGTCTACTAAAAATACAAAAATTAGCCAGGCATGATGGCAGATGCCTATAATCCCAGCTACACGGGAGGCTGAGTAGGAGAATCACTTGAATATGGGAGGTGGAGGTTGCAGTGTGCCAATGTTGTGCCATGGCACTGCAGCCTGCAAGACAGAATGAGACAGTCTCAAAAAAAAAAAAAAAAAATTCACTGTGCCAGGCACTCATACTGGGCATCATTTGTAACAAAAGAGACAAAAATCCCTACATTAGTGGGGCTTATGTTTTGGTAAGTGTCTGTAAATACTAAACATCAGTAAATCATGTAGTATGGCAGAAAGTCGTAAGTGCCGTGGAACAAAGAAGAACAGGGAATAGGAATTTTTGGATAGGGAGTTGAGACAGATTAGGATAATCCCCAGAGTGGGTGCCCAGATCATCTGCAGAAATGATACCTTTGTGTCGCTTTTGTACAAATGCTCAGGGTAAATTTGCATTGCATATGTGGGTCTGGCTGGGACCTAGCTTTGGTTGTGCTACAGGTTGGCCTCTGTGTGTCTTCAGATTAAGCTAAACTCTCATAGTAGATATGGAAACTTGACAGGAACCTCATTTAACTTTGTGGACTCAAATCTTTTAAACACATCCTTAGCACCTGCTGTGTGCCAGGCATTGAGGAAGATGTGAGACTCCAGAGATGGTAGATGGTATATAGTTGTCTACAATAGATGCAGTACAATCACGGGGGCCCAAAGTATGTGGAGCAATTTTTTCTACTTAGTCTTTAGGAAGGTTTCATGAAAGAAGTGGGGGTTAATGGAAGGTGAACAGGAGCTCTCTAAGAGGACAAGGGGAAATGGGAGATTACAGTCAGAGGATACATCTTTGAGTCAAGAAATTGCCTGTGAAAATTGTTCACTTTTATGTTTGTGCAAGAGGCCATAGAATTTTGGAGCTAGCAGGGATCTATTAGTAACATGGCCTACTTAACTCTTTTTTGCTAAAGAGGCAAAAGTCACCAATTTAAGGTTGGTGGCCTCATTATTGACCTGGGTACAGTTGGAACTCAGATCTATTGACTTAGGAGTTTTTCTTTCCTGATATGCATATAAAAGGCAGGGAAATTGAGGATAAAAGTGAGTTCTTTTTTTTTGTTTTTTTGAGACGCTGTTGTTACCCAGGCTGGAGTGCAATGGCACGATCTCGGCTAACCGCAACCTCCGCCTCCTGGATTCAAGCAACTCTCCTGCCTCAGCCTCCCGAGTAGCTGGGACTACAGGTGCACACCACTATGCCCAGCTAATTTTTTTTGTATTTTTAGTAGAGATGGGGTTTCACCTTGTTGACCAGGATGGTCTCGATCTCGTGACCTCGTGATCCACCCGCCTTGGCCTCCCAAAGCGCTGGGATTATAGGCATGAGCCACCGCGCCCAGCATAAAAGTGAGTTCTAAATAATCATTCAAAACGTATATAGCACATTCTCTAAGTTTCTAGCATTTTTAAGTTATGGGTATCTTTTGCCTAATGGAATTCTGCAAAAAAAAAAAAAAAAAAAATTGACTTGGAAAAGACCAAATTTCCTAATGTACAGGCTATTTATTTGGAATGGAGTTAAAAGAAGTACATTTAGTTTAACTTGTTCTTGTTAAGAGACAGGGTCAGCAAAGGGTGTTGGCTCACACCTATAACCTCAGCACTTTGAAAGGCTGATGGGGTGGAACCTTGAGCCCAGGAGTTTGAGAGCAGCTTGAGCAACATGGCAAAAGCCCCATCTCTACCAAAAAAATTAGCCAGGTGTGGTGGCGTTCAGCTGCTCTCGAGGCTGAAGTGGGTGGATTGCTTGAACCCAGGAGGCAGACGTTAGCAGTGACTCAAGATTGCACCACTGTACTCCAGCCTGGGTGACAGAGTGAGACTCTTTCTTAAAAAGCAATTAAAAGAGACTGGGTCTTACTGTGTTGCCCAGCCTA